CCACCCTGCCTGTGCCTTGGCTCTCCCTGTGCTGCACAGCCATGTCCCCAGCCAGCAGGAATGGCAGCCACTGAAGTGATATTCCATGGTGTTAACTTGGGCTGTTCAGACTGTTAATTAGCTCTGCTTTAATGAATTTCCCATCTTTAGCAGTGATGCCTACAACTGAACTCCTGGATTGCACTCCATATGGGAAGGTTTAATTACATTTTGTGGCTAAAACAGTATCCCTGTTCCACACAGCTGTGACATTAGGAGTAACTGGACATTATTATAACTGTCTCCTCTAACACTGAAACTTTCCCACATGGAGTTAATAGAGGAACATCTCTGTTGAGAGTGGCAGGACAGGGAGCCTGATGGTGAGGGGGTGCTCTGCTGTGGGTTTTTCAGCACGCTGGTAATCTCTGGGATGCAGCAGGCATTATCTGGGAGGCAGGGCTGGGGCTGCAGCATTCCCATGATGTCAGAGGGGAGCTGCTTGTGTTTGAGTAGCGTCAGGCACGGAGACAATGCAGGCTTCTCACATGAACTTGCTTACTTCACACTACTACTAAATCATGATTACCAAAGGGTTGTGTGTTTTCAATCATCAAAGAACTTGAAATATTATAATAATGCTTAGCACTTTTCAACTTCAAAGCATGCTGCAAACAATAATTAGGTCTAATAACCCTGCTGTGACAATGAGACATTCCTATCTCCTGTTTTACAGCAGCCAGGGGGGTGTCAGCCCCTGCTCCGGTTGCATCCATCCTGTGTGAGACAGGAGATCTTCCACTGAAGGCTGTGATTGATAAACTGACCTCTCCACAGGCAAACACTCACGGCCAGCAGCAGCAGTGATGCTTTCCAGGCTGGAGGGGAAAGGCAGGACACTTCCAGTGCTCTTTCGGGCCATGTCCCCAAGACTGTAAAATCTGGGCTCATTCACGTTTTGTTCCATGGGGACCTGGAGCAGCATTTGAAACAGGAGTGGAAAAAAGTTGTATTCCATCTTGGCTTCCTGGCTGGTGTGTTTTCACCAGGCAGCAAAGTGTAGTGGAGACTGGGGAGAATACTGTGGACAGCCCAAGTGAACTGGGGTTCATTTTTCCTTTTGCAAGCTGCCTTTGAGTTGGACCCTTTGATAAAGGAGCAGCTGTCCCATTCCTCCTAGTCTGTGACATGTAGGAGATAAAAATTGTGCAGGAAATACTTGATGGACACATTTAAATAACAGACATTTATAAAAAGGCTAAATGTCCAAACCGCTATTAAAAACTTAGAGATGGTTCTGCTTTAATTTCTCATTTTTTTTTAGAGTTCCACAAAACCTGCATTCTTTTGGATGTTTGTCATGTTGGTTGCAATCACCAGTTGTGATCGGTCCTTGGGATAGAGTCATTTCTAGCTTTCATTTTATTATCTTCTAGATTATCTCATGAATGTTTGCACTGTTTGCTGGGGTGTTTGTGAGGTTTCTGCCTCCCACCCAAGGTGGTGGGACTCCCTTCTCCTGGTGCTCGCTCCCCCTCCAAGGTGGGGCTGTTGGGAAATGGAAACTATTTGTTTGTCACTGGCAGTGCAAAATCTTTGTTTACTGTGGGAAAACAAGGCTGAAGAGCACTCAGGGGAGAAGGGGCTTCCCCCCAAAAACTGCTGCTGGTGTCAGGAGCCTGCACACAGCTGGGTGGCTCCTGCCCCGGGCCAGATCCCCCTGTGCGCTCCCTGTGCATCCCCTGTGTGCTCCCTATACATCCCCTATACATTCCCTGTGCATCCCCTGTTCTGCTGCTCTTTGGGTGTGAAACAGAGCCAATTCCTCACTGCTGCTGCTGCAAACTGGTCTGACGGGGCAGGCATGCCAAGGTGGGAATCCAGCAGGAGGAGGATGTGTTTGTGAAACCCCATACTCTGAACTCTGTGCTAGGCTGCTCATTGTTATTGTAATGAGCCGTCAGCAAGTTGCATCAAGTTTTGTCAGAAGCTCTTGACTTTTTTTGTTTCAATATTATGAAAGCAAATAGTAACCAGGCTTGGCTAGACACAGTCATTCAAAGGAGAGCCAAGCAGCAGGACCTGTGTGCCAGTGGGCAGGATGATGTTACCTTCCCTGGCTGGCCAGGTGCTTGCATCAGCTGGCTAAAGCAACATCAGGGGGTTTTTACTCATAATTTCTGCCTTATTGACAGTAACAGGTCACAGCTACACCCAACAGTCCTGGTCCCCGAGTTGATCCAGCCCTTTGAGAGGTGAAGCCCCCTTGTCCAGCATCTGGAGCTCGGGGAAAGCATCCCAACATCAAGGTGATGCACCCACCCTGGGGCTGGGGCCACAGCACTGCCTCTCCTCAGGATTCCTGTCTCCCTGGCAGCACTTCCCTCTCGACTGCAGTTTGCACATGATGCACTCCGAGGCTGATGTTTGACCATGTTCAGTGCTGTCATTCAGTCAACCCTTCCACAGGACAGGAATGTACACTTTTGCCTTTATTTCTAAAATGCAGGATGTAGAAGCCAATATAGGCATCCATGGTTGGTTGAGTGATATCTTGTTTATGAGATAATTATTGTACAGTCCTTGAATGAAATTCTTGTCAGGTAAAAGGCCTGTCAGTCTTGTTAATCATTGCTAGTAATAGTCATTATCATGTGGGCAAGCTGCTTGCCTGCTTTATGAGTTTAGGCAAGTCAGTTCCCTAATGGGTGTCCTGTATTTTTCAGCTGAAAAATGGGGGAAATGGTATTTTCCCTCAGTTTTGAGAGGTGTTGTGCTGGGAGTGCAGTGTGCTGCAGAGGTGGCATGGGGACACTCCCAGTGGGGCTGGGCACAGGGCAGGCAGCTGCCAAATGCAGCTGGGACCTCTGATGTGTCTGAGAGATGCTCCAGAACACTGGATTTGCCTTGTTGGTTTGGATCAGAAGCTTTCTGCTCCATCTCAGTCCAGGAAAGTCCTGGCCCCACTGGTTCCTGCCAGTGATGCTGTGCTAAGGAAAGAACCAGAGCAGAATTTGTGCCATTCCTATCAACCTCAGCACTGCCAGGCTGGGGTACAGGGTGGCATGTTGGGGTCCTCCTGCCCCTTTGGCAGTGCCTTGGGAGATGCTGGTTCCTCCCTGCACTGCTCTCCTGCAGAGACCCTTCCAGCAGCCGGCGCTGGGATTTGTCCCTGATGGCCAACGCTGCTTCCCCTGCAGCAAATACCCAGCCCTGGGGTGAGTGAGCACGGGGGATGTGCTGCATCAACACATCCAAGGCAGGTCCCTGTTCTGGCTGGACACTTCATGTCCACCAGCTGAAGACAAGTTGTGTGCCAAGGCTGGATCTGACAGAGACAACATGTCCTTTACAAAGCCATTCTGGCCTCTTTCCTTTTTCCCTTTCATTCCACGTACTTTACCTTTCCCTAGAGTGGTGTAAAAACAGCTTTGACAAGCAGGAGGGAAAATGTAGATGTGGTTGCTCCTGCATCAGTTGAGAGAGGCCCCAAGGTCCCCTGGTTGCTGTCCCAGCCTTGTTCAGGGGATGGCCCAGCTTCACCTCAGACTCTCAGAGGGTGCATTGCCCATGTCCCTGGGGTCCTGGTCCCCACCAGAGCCACCAGGAGCTGGAAAGACAAACAAGAGCTGACTCCACCTACCAGCAGTATGGAGACAGCAGCCGTGAGATCAACAGCCCAAGAATGTGCACACAAAAGAAGCATTTCCCTCAGCCACGACAGTAAAACCACCAGACAACCGCATGCAGCATGTGATTTCCCAAAAGCATCAGCCCAGATCCCAACTCCTTTGTGCCACACACTGTTTCCCAGGATCAGATCACAGTGGCAACATGGAAAAGGTGTTTTCAAACACTGCAAATTAATCATATTTTCCTCAACACTGTTTATGGAAACCGTGGAGAGCGCTCCTGCCCCTCTGTGCTGGCCAGTTGGCTCAGCTCACCGCCCCACGGGGATCAGTGGTGTTCCTGGTGCAGCTGGAGGAGACATCCAGGCTGATTCCATGGAGTGAAGCTCCAGCAGTGACCTGGGATCTGTTGTGCTGGGAACTCCTCTTGCCCTCTCCCTTGCCTGTGTTGCTGCTGGCACAGCCCGAGGCAGCCGCTGTCCGTGTGAGGCTGCTGAGAGCTCCGTGCCCGGGAGCTTTGGCCAGTGGGAGCCTGGCACAGTGGGAATGAGGTGAGCTGGGATGAGTTTGCTTTCCCTTCTCCCTCTCTGGTTTTACTCTGCTGAAGCAGCGCTGGTTTCAGCAGAGCAGCTCTGGTGTAAGGCAGCTCTGATGTGCTGTATCTACAAAGTTATTTGGCTTGGTGGTTCTTGCATTCCTGGTTTGAATCCTTTCTGTTGGGACTCTCTGTGGATGCTGTGCATTTCTTCACTGCAAAGGGAGCCAGCAGATCATGACTACCACAGGCTGTTAGTCAAGTTCCACATGGTCTAATGAAATGGCAAATGTCAAAACTTGAATACAAAATCTCTCATTTTCAGTGTGATTTTACTGCCCTTTCCTCCGTTAGATGTGCCTTGTACTGCTTTAGTGTTGCAGGGAACTGCTGTGGCATTGATTATTAATATTTTTGAGGGTGCAGGAACATCCATATGCAGTATCCTTTGTGTAGTCCTTTGGAGACAAATGCTGCTGCTGTTGATGGCAGTGGATGTGAGCCTGCTGGGATTTTACATGCCAATAAAATTGTCTCAATTTGCAAAGGAGCTTTTCCCCCCCCATCAATTTTGAGCTTAGATTGCAAGTTTTTCAGAAACTGTTATCAGCTGGGTTTCATAATGTAACACTTAAAGGTAACATTTACTTGGTACCTAAGGCGAGCTTTGGTACCTGATTTGGTAAGAGCCAAGAGCCTGACCCTCAGGCCTGGCTCTGGATGGACCCTCCAGGGAGGAGAGGGGCCAGGAACAGACCCCACAGACACACAGGGGATGTGCTTTGCACTTTGCATCCTGAACAACTGTGTTTGGGGATGAAGAACAAAATTCTGATGGTCCTGTGTTTTAACAGGGAGAAGACTACGAGGGAAAGCATTCTACAATGTCAATGGCAAGGTGTACTGTGAAGAAGACTTCCTAGTAAGTAAGATTTCAGGCGTTTTTTTATCATTTCTAAAGCAAGTCGTTCTTTTATGTTGGCTTGTTTGCTTTGAGAGATGGTTTGATGATGCGGGGCCTCCTGCCAGTGGCGGAATTGGGAAGCATCTTCCACTGACTCCTTGGTTTGAAGTGGTGGCTGTAAAACCAAGTACATAACTGCCCATAAGCCAGCACAAAGTGTAAATTACCAGGATAAACACTGGAGCTGCTCAAGCCTGGCACTTGAATTGCAGCCACAGAGACTTGCCTGCCAAGGCTGAGCTCGAAGTCAAACATCTGGGGAAAACCAATCATAACAGGAGGGAGAGGTTTGTGCTGGGAGCACGGCAGAGCTGTGCACAAAGTTGCTTTGTTGAGGCACAGTTTAATCACTGCTCTGCTCACGGGGCTGTGGGGCTGACTTGTGATTAGCTGGGAGCTGTTGGTCATGGAGGGGCAACTCAGGTTCTGTCCTTGCTCACAGAGCTTTTGTAAATGCTTTACTTTAGTAGAGACTAAGTCAAAAAAGAAATGAAGCCTATTGTTGGGCTGTGTTGTTCCAAAAATAAAATATTCATGCAATTAAGGGTGAGGATTGTGCATTGCACCACAAATGATTCAATATGTGCAGACCATTTAGAGTTAAGATGAAGAGTATGGCGTGGCTGAGAATTGCAATTAGAGAGCAATGATATATTTTAGCTTAGAGGAAGATGAATTTGGACAATCAGTATGTTGAATTTATGCCAGCTTATTTATTGAAATACCATTAATTTAGAAGCTTGGGTCTTCCAGGACGACTTTCCATTTCTAATGAATATATAATCATGCTTTTTGCAAAGGAATTATTCAAAGTATATCCCACAACAAAATTCTTACTGGCAGTTCAAAGTGCACTAATGCATTTCTCATCAATGCAATCCATAAAATTCATGGAAATTCCTAAAATATAAGCTGTATTTGCCTTTACATGTTACACCTTTACTGTGAGCTGGAGCCTGTTGGAAAAGAAACCAAAATGTGTTTTGTGCAGAAAATAAGTATCTTGTTACAATTGAAACTTGTTGCTGTTTTGCTTGCATTCTGGAGAGAAAATTCTTTTTTCTTCCTTTTTTTTTTTTCCCAGCTCTTTACTGTGTTTCTGCAGCAGCACAGGGAGGGGGAGAGGAGGTGGAGTGTGAGAGGGAGGGGCTCAAACCTTTGAGATTTTTCATTTGAACTGTGTTGGAATGTACTTTCCCCATGATCAAAACCTTTCATCCAGACTTAATGACATGATTGTTGTTATTAGCTTGTAATTTCAGCCTAAACACAAGAATTTTAAATCTAAAAATCTTAATCTTTTGGAGAACATTCAGTTTTCATGGGGTGGGGGGAAAAACTCTTCAGCTCAGGCATGTTGTGAACTGGGTTTCTGAAGGAAGATACTTGCAGAGATTTTCCTAGGAAAACTGAGATTAAGGGCCTGATAGGAATAAACTTTCTGCAAGTTTGGGAACTGTTGGGACGTTTAAGGCACAGATTTAAAAGCCCAAACATCCCACAGGTGTGTTTTAGCAGATTCCTAGTAGCAGAGGCATGGGGGAGAAGCAAACGAAAGGACACTTGTGTAAGTCAGCAAAGAAACCAAATTCTGACTTTGTCCCTGCTTGTGATATTCTCACTGTTTCTCAGGAAGTGATTGCATCTTCTCTCAGCTCCCTTGAGGAAATGTCATAGCAAGAATCCTAGGAATTCCTAGGAATTGTATGGTATCACTAATGAAATCAATCAACCTTGCCTATTTTAGAGTTCTGTAAATAGAGAAAGCAGAAAGCTTTTCTCAAAGTTGAAAGGAAAAAGGTTACAAAATAGCCATTAAAAAGGAAATTATTTTAACTACTTCATCTTCCCAAGTCTTCCTCCTGAACGCTGGGAAACCCCAATTCTTTTTAAGAAAACGCATTTTCAGTCCAAAGCAGAAAATTAAATGCTTTTTCTGGATAACTGAGAATTTCAGTCTCTAGCATGACTCCAACTCTTTAGTGCAGCTCTGTTACAGTGCAGCAGGATTCCCTGCTGACACCATGGTAGTGGAATGTTAGGGAAGGTAAAGCAGGGGGATAAGAGAAAGATTATTTCAATTTGGGAATGTAAACAGATACAGTCTAACTGTGTTGTAATTGTATTGCTGCTAAGAAAATGCTGCCTGCCCTGGGTGTCCTTCCTCTTTCTTGGCTTCTGTTTGGGAATTGATCAGGAGAATTAGATGCTCCTGTTGGTTTGGGAGCAGGGTCACAGCTCTGTGGATTCACAGCCCCAGACCAGGTTATTTCAAACCCAGCAAGGCTAGAAGGCAGAGCAGCTTCAGATGAGGGCAGGAGGTGCAGCACAGCCCCACTGGGGGCACTGGTGACCCAGGACGGGCTCTGTGTACCAGCCTTGATCCTTCCACGGGTTCCCAGGTCAGCCTCAGAGGTCGATGTTTCCTTGCCCACGGTGCCACTGAGGCAGCAGTGGTCTGAATGAGCCCCTCGTGTGCTCCCAGCAAGAGGCATCCCGAGGGGAAGTTGCTGTCCTGCCCATGGGGGACAGAGCTGGTGGCACTCCCTGGTACCTGGAGGAGAGCCATCCCCTCGCAGGGAGGGCTGTCATTGCTGCACAGCTCTGTCCTTCCCCACTGTGCCTCTGTTTATCCCATTCATTATCCCATCCCATTCCCCATCATCCCTGGAGTCACACCTGTGTGTCCTGCAGGCCAGTCCAGGCAGGACACAGCGATTTTGGGGCTGCATTGAGTAGCCCCTGAACAGTGATGGAAGAAAAGCTGAAATGGCTCTTGATGTGAGTGAATGCAGAAAATTTAAGTAAAGAATAGATATTCTTTAATTTATGGGTTTCCTCCTTTTGTAGCTGCTAGAAATATCGAACATCCTATAGATGTCAGTATTTTATTTCTCCTGCAATTCTGCATTTTGCTGTGGCAGAGCAGCTCCTGCTGGAGCAGTCTCCAGAGCTGCAGCCAGTGGCTCACATGGGATACCTGGTTCTTTAACTACCACTCACTCATGACAAATGAGCTCTTCCACTCAATCAGAGGTGGTATGTGGAATTCACTGCAGTGATCCCTGAAGCCAAGGCCTTGAGAAAACCTGCTTTCTGATCCTTTCAAATGTTTGGCTTTTGGAAGTGCTCTCCTTGGCTAAAGTGTCCCCCTCGAGGTCCATCCAGTGCCGGGTCCAGCTGCTCCAGGGGTCTCCTCTGTTTGCACTCTGGCCAAGAGCTCCTGTGCAGGTTATGTTTGAGCAGAGCACAGTTGTCACTTCAGGAAGAGCCTGAGAGCTTTGGCTGCCAAGTGCTTCCAGACAATCACTCAGTGTAAGTGTGGCGTGAGGAGCTGCTGGCATCAAACTTTCCAAATCCTCCCCTTTCTCGGAAAAGTGTTTTTGGTTTGTGGACACAGGTCCTGAGTGAGCTGCTGCTGGTGCTCGTGCTCCTGGTGAGCCCCAGGACACCCTGCAAGAGCCACAAGGTACATCCTTCTGGCAACGTTTTCCCACGTTTGCTCCTACTGAGGGCACAGTCTCCACACCAGATGGCTTCTTTTGCTCTTTCTTTGCAGGGAAGAAGTGCCAGAAGTGTTTTGGTGGGCAAAGGAAGCCACAGTGCTGCCTTCTGTAGGGCTGGGAATCCCCTGCACCTGGAGGATTTGGAATATCTCTGCCTCCCAGGGTTATTTTTATCAGCCTTCTGCTTCCAGCTCTGATTAGCTGCACATTCTCTCAGAGCTTAAACCCTTATTGGCTAATTGAATGAAAGAATCAGATTTAAAAAAAGAAATCCACAGATAATTCTACTTCTGCCTTAGACATTGCCTGATCTGTGCCATTGCCAGTAGGACACTGCATGTGTGAGGAGCAAAAAGAACAAAAACAACCTCCCAAACTTTACATTGCTTTGCTTTAGCTCTAGGGAGGATCCAGTTACTCCTTTAAATGCCACCTTAAAGTAACAAGTCCAACAATACCCAAGTCTTGCCCCAGCCCTGTTAGGAGAGTTATTTCATGAAAGGAAATAAAACAAATGACAGTTTAATCCTTTCCTGAAAGCTCTTTGGACACAGATGGCTAACTAGCCATAACAGAGACACTGTTCCTGGTGAAGTGAACAAAAAATAAATGCCTTACTGTATAATAAATAATCCCAGTCAGATGTTCATGTTTCATTTTGTTGATAAATTGCTGCATAATCATGGGTGAAGGAAAAATAATTTTGTCTTTCCTTTTCCATGCTTAAATATCACGTAAAGAATTTTTTTTTTAAATAAATACTGTTTTGCTTGGCAAAAAACACTTTTAAAATGTCACCAAAGCAGCCTGAATCTTAGATCTATTATCTATCTCTTTTCTTTTTTTCCTCTTTTTGATAGGCTTTTCCTTTTTCTCTTGAGGTAATGAACATTATTGAGTGGGGGTCCAGTAGAGGTTAAGAAATGAGAGAATTTCCCTCGAGGGAGGAGATGAGAGGGAAAATGAAGCTCGTGACAGATGTTAGTTACATTGCTTAATGCACTACTGGAAGACACTCAGATGCTCTGGAAATAACCTATTACAGACACTACAGGCTGCAGTGCATTGCATTAAGGTCATCCAAAACTTCCCCTTTTAAGATTTTCTCTTTCACTGTCTTAAAACTTTGCCAAATTTAATCATTTAGGCTGAACTTCTTCATGCTAGGTTTTTGCCTCTGGCTAACTTTACTGTCATTAGTTGTTGAAAGTTTCATCTAGAGCTGTTCATCCATTTCAGTGAGTAAGACTGGAGGAACTCTGCCCATAAATCCTCAGAGAGAAAGGATAAAAGCTTTGTTTTGCACATGGCAACCATAAAGAGACTCGGTGCATTGCAAACCTTCAGGAGCCTTTGGGTGTCCCCTCCCTGCTGTCTCCAGGAGGAAGGCAAGCAGCTCACAGCCCCAGCAGAGCCCCTTGCAGCCCTGCTGTCCCTCCCCAGCCTTCCTTC